TATTTCAAAATTGTTACTTTTTTGTAACATATGTCACATTTTTATATTAGTGCCACCAGTATTACAACATTAATATTCTGACTTATTTGTAACATTTGAACTTTTGATTTAGTGCAATATTTTGTGCTGCCATAAGGGACTGCCAGTGACCGGCTTGTTGCATGCATTAAATGCAACCTTTTTATTCTGACAGTGTATGATTTCTATTAACATTACAGAATAGAACATGATCAATATTATCTTTCAACGTTCAATTTAAATAATTGTAATTGCACAAACTATGTAGGCTACAATTTCAATTAGTTTATTGTGAAATAACTCAAACATTTTGTTTTTTTTTTTCTGTCCTCTGATAAGCATTGTTCAGGGCTGCCGTTCCCAAAAGCTTTAATGCTTTCTTATGATACTTTTGGGAACTGTGCACTGTCAGAAGTGAGTGAACGCTCTCCGTGGTGGATTGGTTCTGTCTCGCAACATTTGCGTGTGTTCAGATGAGCAGGAAAAATTACTCTCTAACAAAGGTTATTCGTCCAATTCAATGCATATTGTACGCATTACTATTATTATTTTTGTTAAATAAACAAAACCACTGGTAAATAAAAAGCACCTTAGTATCGATATTTTTTGTTTGAGTATCGATACTTTCGATACTCGCGTCAGTATCGATATATCGATACTTCGGATCAATACGCCCATCCCTACATAAAGCATGGCTCCGCTCACAAACGCTGTTTTAGTTTATCAGACATTACAGGCAAGATGAAATGAAAATGACATCCAAAATTTTCTGAAGACAGTCGGTTTCCTTCAGAAATACAGTGATATAAAAACACCCGCACCGGGTTTCAATTTTGAAACGTGCAGTGCTCATGTTTATTCAATGACGTCAAAGCCTTTCGGAAAATCTATTTGTGGCGGTCAGTTTTGATATGGTGGCAGGCCGCCACAAATAATTCAGTGTATGGGAAACACTGTGGTGATATTGGGGAATCATAAAACGTGAAGTTTTGTTCAGTGTATAACAATTTGGTTTAGTGACAACAAGCTTAATTACTGTTATCACTGACATGGTTAAGTGATGCATATTTCCGTTAAAAATTGATCATATCACCCAACCCTCAAGCAGTTTAACTGAAGATTTATACTTATTCGTAACACGTTGTTCACGGTACATAATTCAGTTTCTTGATTCCTCACAGGAATATGAATGGCCTGGATCCCGGTGCCCTGACGGCCATGGCTTCCCCGCGGGCCATGTCTCCTCCTGGCATGCTCCCTCTCAGCGTGTGAGAGACTTTCCCAGCGACCTCCACACAAGCTCGGACGCAATGTGGAAACAGAGAGGACACTCCAGAGATTGTGTGAGTGTGTGTGTGCGAGAGAGACTGAGATGACGTGCCTCGAGCGTGTCTGACAGATGCATGTCAGGCGTGAGGGTCCGTTCCTGTGAGCGCGAGCTTCAGTCCACCTCTGTTCTTCTCACGAGGTCTCACCTAAAGCCAGCAAAACGACAAAGGTCTGAGTCGGGCCACAGCTTCTGTGTGAGTTTCAGTGTGTCGCACAATTTAAAAGATGTTCAAGGGATTTTCTTTTTGAGGTGAACGTCACTGTATGCTTGATGCCAATGCGTGTGTGTGTGATCTGAGGCAGATCTGAACGTCCCCTCAGCCTTGATTTACACGTTCACTGTTTTCAGCTTCGGTAAAGGGTCTAAATGTGGAGGTCCGCAGATGTTTTTACTGGAATGAATGCCAAGAAAACGTGTTCAATAGCATGGAAACATCGGCTATTACTATTATTAACCCAGTTACATCAGCTGGCTGGTCACCAGTTTGCATGATGCAACCACTATTTTAGGGCTTCAGAAGGTTTGTATGTATGCTTCTGAAACTGCACTTCAAAACCCCACAGTTAAGTGATGTTTACTGTGTCTAGATTCACGGGCCGCAGTGGTCACGATGCAAACCGCAAGTACTGTTTCACTCGTGTAACTGCTTTGACTGTAAATCAGTCTCTGTGCGGTGTGACCTTCCTCACAGAACTTGTCAGTGGTTGTATGAGCCTCATTTCTATCCCATGTGCCTCTGCTGGTGAGTTTGTGGAACTGAAGCCTGCTTTTGTTTATCACAGGGTTTAAGTTCAGTTCATTTACGGCAAACTTTAACATCAAGTATAGTAGGGCTGCACGATAAATCGCATGCGATATTTAACGCGCATCTTGTCAGTAAAGCCGGTTCTTTAATCAGCGGTAAATCTCCATCACCTGCGGGCTTTCACATGGAGCAGCATTAACTACACAGAGCCGTTGTTCACTGACAAGCTGCGCAAAACCACGATCATATTTTGCTCAGCTCGTCGGTGAACAACGGCTCTATGTAGTTAATGCTGCTCCATGTGAAAGCCCGCAGGTGATGGAGATTTACCGCTGATTAAAGAACCGGCTTTACTGACAAGATGCGCGTTAAATATCGCATGCGATTTATCATGCAGCCCTAAAGTATAGGAGCACTTGTCAGTGTTAATTTCTCTCGTTGAGTCTTTGATTTCACAGTTATCACGCACTTTGTTGACTGTTTTGTTATATCTCATGTATATAGATTTGTAAACATAGCAGCGATGCCCTGTCTGTAGATACTAAAATTGGGCTGATGTGCCGTTTAATTTATTTGAGAATCTTTATGGCGTGTTTTGACACAATGAGTGAATTTTACATACTGTGCATTGGTTTAAAAACATATCAAGATGTAAAATTGGTTGTCTAATATGTGCAAATAAATAAAGGGAAAAATGGGCACGGAGTTACCTTTTTTTTTTTTTTCAACATTGGTCATGAAACTCATTTTAGATTGTGCTTTACTGACAAAAGTGGTTTGTTTGTTTGTTTTTTAGAGAGAAATGTATTTATTTATAACTATGTATGTTTAGGGTTATTTAAATTCTTGAAATCAGTATTTACAATATATTTGTTGTAATTGTTAAAAGAACAATAGAAGTTTCGTAACACTTTACAAGAAGGTTAATTTGTTAACATGAACTAAGAATGAACAATAGTTCTACAGCATTTATTAATCTTAATATCAATTTCAGGATTTACTAATGCAGTATTAAAATCACAAGTTTTGTTTGTTAACATTAGTTAATGCACTGTGGACATGAACAAACAATGAACGACTGTATTTTTAACATTAACGAAGATTAATAAAGAGTCTAATGTAGTATTCGTTCGTTCATGTTAATTAATATTAACAAATGACCTTATTTAAAGTTTTAGTTCACATAAGGTGTTTTTTGGGGGGGGTTTTGCTCACCAGTGAACAACGGGAAATAAAATGTATTCATGTTTATAGTAAAATAGTTAATGATGCATTCATAACATATATATTTTATTAATTCTTTTAATCAGATATTTATTTCCATAACAATTAATGTTTATTAAAGTAATGTGCAAATTTAATTGCATGAATGAAATTGCATTGTCGTGTACCGTTTAGACATCTTCATGATGAAAAAATAAAAATAAAATAAAAACGCATACAAAGTTTGTTTTGATAAGAATTTAAATGTCACACTATAGTCATGATATTGCTGCCCTCTTGTGGTTCTTAGGAGCCGAGACTAATTACTAAAAAGGAAAATGATGCCTATTAGCAGCAGCACTGTGCTAACACTAAATTCTTATTAAAATGACATTAAATGCAATAAACACACAAATAAGAATAAATAACGTTGTGTATTCGTATGCAATTTGTCATTGGATTTTTAGCACTGTCCTGAACAAACACCACACAGCACTCTGTTTCAATAAAGTGTACAAAAAAGGGGGAATATGTGACTGTCCAGCATTACTTGATCATTTATTATTATTATTATTGGTCTTCAAGCATTGCTGTTTTACACTTTGAGCACAGTCAACTATTTACCATAGAGACCAAACACAACGCTGAGCCAATGAAACCGACAGACAACACGCAAAGCAACAATTTTCTTTAATACATACAAATATATAAATAAGTTACTGATTTTATAAAGCAGTATCTATACACAAAACTAAAAAAAATCATTTACAAGATATAACATTTATAATTTAAGGCATCTAGAAATAAATAAAAAAAAATCACATTCTCACATTCTCTGATGTTTTCTACATTCATTTGTTCCCAGAAGAATCTGAATTACAGTAATGGGAATGTCGATTACAACTGGCCTTTGTTAGCAATCCTGAAGGAGGCTAGAGTAATAACTGAAATTAGGCTTTCGAGATGTTTTGAGAGATGATCTGAAGTGATTAAAGTTCCCATGTGGCACCATCTAAGGACTATGAAAAGTCCAGTCTATTTTTACAGCAGTCCAAGAACCTTTTCTGCACTATATCTGTGTACATAAGCTATGACAAATACATCTGATTGTCCACTAACAAGATAAAGAAAAGAAAAGACTGAACAAAATGATACACTGATCACACATTAGTCTCCATGTCTCTGATAGTGTTACCATGTAAAGGCACTGGACTGTAATCACAGTCTATGGTCATCTTAGTGCTGGGCTTCAGTGAGTTGATGTCTTTATGAGTGAAGGAGCTCTTGACCTCTCTGCACTTCTGTCTGTCCAGCCAGTAGAAGGACAGCATGATGAAGAGACCAGCGGTGGAGCCGTTTATGCTGCAGGCGAAGAACACATAGGCGTATTGGCTAGTGCTGTCAACCAGGATTCCTGGGAAAGAAAAAAAAAAGTCACATAATCCGCCACTTCTCAGCAGCTTCTGTTTCCAAAATGATGTTCGACATTCATTTTCTCTATGTGCATTTCAGAAATGAAAATGCATGGATGAAAACCCATGAATTAAGTAAAGCGACTGTACTTCAAATTTGAAAAACAGTACTTTTAATTACGCGATCTATGCCAAACCATGAATCTTTGACTCAATCAAATGAGCAGCAAAGTCTGGCCCCTGCTGGTAGATGATGTAACTACAGTATTGTGTGTGGCATACCATTTAATTGTGTTTGTAATTTAATACGAATTGCCCAATATTCAGTTAAAGGTGCTGTATGTAAGTTTTTTGACTTAACTAAAGCATAACAATACCGTAATATGTTTGCAGATATTTAAGAAACATGCTAAGTTAACATACTTGTTTATCTGAAAAACAATGCTACAGTCAGTTATTCTCCTTTGAAAATGTGCGTTCCGTGCCGGAATGTCGGTCTCTGTTTTGGTTTGTGAAACCCGCCCACTGCCAATTTACCCAATTGAATTTCGGCACCCTGGGTTGCCAGTTGGCGGAAAACACAGCGTATTTCATTTAATTAATCGTCAAGTGCGCTCTTCCTGTTGGTGTCCTCAATCTGGCAACCTGCGTGTGCATCAAGTCTGAGGAGGAGGGGCCGGGTGAAAAAAAACCCTCTCCAATATTTTGAATTTGGGACTGCGATATCTAGTTCAACCACTCGGTGTCAATCCTACATGCAGCACCTTTAAAGATACCATTGAAAAGTTTGGGGTACTAAGTATGAATTTTAAATGTTTTTGAAAAGTCACCAAGTGCATATATAAAATATATTAAAAACAATAATATTGTGAAATATTACTACATTTTAAAATGTAATTTATTCCTGTGATGGTAAAGCTGAATTTTCAGCATCATTGAAGGATCAACAGTGTCTCGTGATCCTTCAGAAATCATACTAATATGCTGATTTGCTGCTCAAGAAACATTTCATGTTGAAAACAGTTGTGCTGCTTAATATTTTTGTGGAAACAGTGATACATATTTTTAAAGATTCTTTGATAAATAGAAAGTTATTTTGCAACATTATAAATGACTTTACTGTCACTTTCAATCAAGTCCTTTCTGAATAAAGTATAATTTGAAGAGAAGAATATTTTTGAAGAATATTTCTAACTAAGTTTTAATTATATTTACAGTTTGTAACAGTAATTTTTGTCTGTACAATGGCAGTCAATAGAAACCAAAATATCTATTTGTGTTCCACAGAAGCAATAAAGTCACTCGCTGGGGTATATGTGTAGCAGTAGCCAACAATACATTGTATGGGTAAAAATTATAGATTTATTAATTTTTTTATGCCAAAAATCATTAGGATAAACAAAGACCATGTTCCATGAAGATATGTAAATTTTCGACCATAAATATATCAAAACTTATTTTTTGATTAGTACTATGCATTGCTAAGGACTTCATTTGGACAACTTTACAAGGCGATTTTCTCAGTATTTAGATTTTAATTTTTTTTGCACCCTCAGATTCCAGATTTTCAAATAGTTGTATCTCTGCCACATATTGTCCTGTCCTAACAAACCATACATCAATAGAAAGCTTATTTATTCAGCTTTCAGATGGGGTATAAATCTCAATAATAAAAATGTGTTTTGTGGTCCAGGGTCACATATGAGGGTGAGTAAATGATGACTTCTAACTATCTTTTAAGCGCCATAAAAAATCAGGCTGATAGTGTATATATCATTGTTTAACACCCTTAGAGCTCTTTCTTGAAATGTTTTGTTATTGCTAAACATCAGCCTGCTGTTGTGCAACGAAGTGCTCCTATCATAGACTGATCAGCACCTCATTGCCGTGTGCCTTGACATTTAAGTTTCCTTGGTAATGATAACTGGAGAGGATCCCTAGTGCTTGATGTTCTGCTCACCTATACAAGCCTTTCTGGACACCGGCCTGTAAATGAACTGACAATCTCATCGACTAACGTAAGATTATGACTGACCTGCTACCAATGACGTCACACGACCCTCACAGAATCACACACACACACACACACACACTAAACCAACCCCTCACAGAAAACAGAAAAAAAGAAGAAACTTCATTCTGTATGATTTATAAGCTGTTTTCCTCATGGGGACCTAAAAAATGGTCCCCACAAGGTCAAAATTAAAATGACTAATAGTATTATGCTTGTGGGGACATTTGGTCCCCATAAAGTAGGGAATGCCAGTTACACACATTGAACAGACTTCTTTCTTCCTTCTATAAAGGGATTAAAATTCTCTCATAATTTCCTCATACTTCCCTGGAACACACACAAAAATGATGTTAGGCAAAAAATGCTGGTCTAATCTTTTATGAGAGCATATAATGACTATGGGATGTCAAGCTCCAAAAAGCTATATATATATATATATATATATATATATATAACTAAAACAGTAAAACTAAATAAAAACATAAATATATGTAAATAAAAAATATA